GAGGGTTGCAAAGAAACTGAGCCTCCATAGTCAACACAGACTACACAATCTCAGTGTGCATTCATACCTTTCTAAGCATTCTGACTTGATAAAAAACAACAAACAGAACGCCGCTGCTGTCTGTTAGCTGCCATATCCTTCGGTGTCTCCAAGCAACCAGTTGCAGTTTTTTGGACCCCAACCTGGAAGGCAGGAGACATCTACTCTACCTAATCGCTCTGTGCATTTCTTCATGCCTCGTCTCCACGTCATCTGCTAACCTTTACGTGGTTGCAAATGCGAACAGACAGTCATCCGTGTACTCTAAATCGCACAGCTTTTCTCCAGCTGCTCATTCAATACCTACATTTGGAGGCCACTAAGTGCGTTCTCCAGCATTTCATTCACAACGAAAATGAGCAGGAATGGCGGAACAGGGCACCCTTGATGAAAACCGCTACTGGTTTTTAACGATTTACTGAGTCTACCGTAGACCCTTACGCTACCAGAAGTATGCAGGTAGAGCAACCGCAAAAGATTTACATACTTCCGCGGTATTCCTTTGCGAAGCAGTGACCCCAAAAGGGCTTCGCGGTAAACTGAATCGAAGGGTCCTTTTAGGTCAAGGAACACTGAGATTGTTGGCCGAAGATGTGACGCAGTTCGAGGGATTGGCGCAGTGTGAATATTTGATCGATGCAACCGCGACTTGGTCGGAATCCCACTTGCTGTTCCCTCAAGGGTGTCAGGCGGTGAAGGATCACAGAACACACATTTGTGATTATCCGCACCAAACTAATCCCACGATGGTTTGCGCAATCGTTGCGTGATCCCTTCTTGAAGATCGGGATGATCAACGATTCACCCCAAGACAAAGGGATACGCTCCTCCGACCAAATGCTACAAAGTAAGCTAGTAATCGAGGCGAAAAGAGATTCATTGTCCACCTTGAAAAGAATAAGGAGAAGCCCATCAGGTTCCGCAGCCTTCCCTTTCTTCAATGATTGAATGCAACTCTGTACTTCCAATTCTAATGGGGCTCACATGTTACCACTTATGGAGTTTCCACCGCAGTAGCTGAAATGACCGCATTAGCACTGGACCAGTTGAACTGTTCACTAAAATAATCTGACCAGCGATTAAGTCGTTGTTCTTTATTGTGGATACTTTGTCCACTGTTAACGCAAATGGTCTCACTGACTGGTATGCGACGACCTTCCGTACTGCGTATCAAGTGAAACAGTCCTTGACTATTCCCTGATGCAGAATTTACCTCCATTTCACTACATTCTACGTTCATTTAGCGGGTTTTCCAGGCCGGTAGACCAACCTTGCCCGTGATTATTTGCTGGAAGGACCTCTTCAGGGGCGAGTGGATAATCAAAGGAAGACGGGTGCCCTTCCAGCTGGTTTTGTGACAGAAGTTCGTTTGTCTTCTACCTATTATTCTTTCAGATGTGGCTACATGTGCGGCTGCGAAAAGCAATTCTATGTAGCTAGCAGGGTGATTAAGTCACCCAAGTCATCACATCACCTCAAGGTGCAGTGTCACCATGGTGAAAGTTAAATGATCTTATCATGGGCCATTTTGAAGAGCGTTCGTAGACGACTACGGCAGATGAACTATTTTGTGGTTTACCTACATCACAAACAAACCTTAACTGCGTTAGACGCAGAAATGATTCTTTTCATTCTAAAACTGATTATTTTATTCCTCCAGAACTCGGGTCGTTAGTCTCGAAACCTCCTAAACCAGACCAGTCTAAATGTTTGTGCAACTTCTTGGGAAATCCACAAATACAGCTTTCGCTTGACCCGCAAGGTGGCTCGGTGGAGCTATGAAAACGGCAATCCACCGGGATCCGGTGTTCAGTACGCCAGATTGCAATTCTTTTNCGTCCATGGTACGAAAAACAGTTGGACAATCAATTGCGCCAGTAAACAGCGTTAAAACCAGGAAAGTGTATCGTTTATAAAACTATTTTCGATTTGGAATCCAGGATTTTAGCGAACTCCACTGGGCGAACTTCCAATGGTTCACAGACAAGGTCGAAGCGTTTTCTCCATTCAAATTGGTGGGAAAACACCGCCGTTGGAATAAGGCAGTGTGACAGGTTCGGTCACACGTGCCTTTCTCGAGGCACAAGCGAAGAGCGAACGGTCACAACCGAAGACATCCAACTCCGACAAAACAGACTCGTTTGAGAGCCTAAGCACTAACTGAAAGATTCTTAATGCGGATACTTGATACGTTTTTAAACCTGTATAAGCCAATAAAAATAAAAGATGCCATAAGTGAAAATAATCTGACGGTTAACTTAAGGGTAGGTGATTGTGAAAAATGGAAGACGAAATTTACCTTCACTCGAGCTTCTGCGAGATTTTTCTTCAAATCCTCAACGTAATCTGCATCTTCCGCTGAATTACGGAAGAACTTATTCCATTCTTCTTTTTGTTCCTCCGTGAACTGTTACAGATAAATAAAAATTAAACAAACATACATCAGAAGCGGGACACTCGTAATCATCATAGATATCTACTTCCTGATCGATATCCGAGTGATCCGGAGATTCTTTAAGGTGCTTCTTTCGTCGTTTCGATGATTCTGATTTACTATAAGTAAACAAATGTAAATGTTTGTAGACATATCTACATTTCGTTTTCATTCGCATTTTCCCGCAGCAGTTTTTGTAGCCTTTTCACATCCTTCCCACCTAAGACCTGAAATAGAATTTGCACTTACAGGAGCTTTACACGTACATTAGCTTCCTGTTCGGAAACAATTTTTCGTTTTGATTTCGGCATGGAAAAATACAGATGCCAGTAGGTGACTACAGGGAGATCAGTGTCAAGGCCAGTTCAGTTCAGTTCAGTTAGTCAGTCAGTCAGTTTGCACAGGACAGGAGATGGCCACG